ACTAGAACGAAAGGGTATGTGTAACAAGAAAGAACAATAAGGAAGAGAATACAATAAACACAGATCTTCGGAGTACCGAGCAGCGGAATGGAGGCCCGAGGCATGGGCTTGACAAACTCAAGCTACATAATAATTACACAATGCACTTTGTCTGATCATTTATTTTTCTCCTAAACCTATTAGTACACAACTTTGTGTGTGTTACACTTACTGCTACATATACTACATCTACTTTTCATATACAATCATAGCATAGCATGATTTCACTGTAGATATGTACAAAGAAATGGATTCTTTAATGAATTATATTACAGTCTTTGTAATATGATTGCTATTATTTATATATATATGGTTTCAGGAAAAGAGGTGTACCTATGTAGGGAATTAAAGCTTAAGAGGTGGAAAGCTTTTGGTTCCGGAAAAAAAGGAGGAAATCAAAAATTCAGACCATGCACATTCGATGTCTGTCTCTGCAGGTGGCTCCGGGCGGCTGCGTAATACACAAAGACTCAATCAACATTAACTAACCTCAACTCAACAATTACAAAATTTTCGACAAACACTGCAGGAATGAAACCCTAATGTTGTAGTGAATATGAAGAGATTAGGTACAAAACTCTCCAAAAATTCTCTTCCAGAGTTTGCTGAGACTTTTCAAAATTTTCGCCATGACACAATCATGAACATGGCAGGAAACGTGATTATTTTGAATATTCCTACATTAATTTCAGCCTAATCCTTAGCAAATTGTTTCAAAAAAATCTCAGCTACAATTTTTTGCAAAATTCTCGAAAATTTCAGCCTATTCTTCATGAGAAAAGTCCTTCATCCCCGCAGTGAAAAAAGTTCCTACGGAAATACTGCGTCAAGGTCTAACCAGGACTCGAACCTGGGTCACGGGAAGAAGAGATTTGACATCATAGTTGTTGCCTGTCAAAATCCCGTGTGATAACCTCTACACTATTAGACCATAAGCAAGCAGTTTAATTTATAACAATATAACAACGTAACATCTGCGGGAATGGCTGTACAAACGCGAGGCTAAGGCTTGAGAAAGCCGTGCTCCAATTTGCAAATTGCCAAGAAAAAAAAAACAAGATCAAGAGTAACCACGATGGCGAGCGGGGCACCAGCAAGTTCTGCTACGACATCGAGTTCATCACCGACGTCTGCGAGTACGACAACGAGTCGCAGTAGCTCTACAACTTCATCTACAACTTCCAGCAATACCAGCAACACCTCTAATACTTCTTCCTCGACGTCGGCATCGAACACCGCATCGTCAGCGCAATCCAGTGGTTCAAGTTTAGGTTCGGGATCTAGTAGCGGGACGTCTAGTGCGACGAAGACTAGTAGCTCGACAACGTCAACATCAACGCTTACAGCGTCTTTAACGACTGCTGTACCTACTACCGTCGTAGGGACATCTGCTGATGGCCAGGTATACACCACCGTTATCCAGACATCTACCGTTTTACCACCAGGAGCCACCGTCACTTCTTCGTCCTCCTCAGACTCCGGGTCATCTTCATCATCGGACTCGCACACAGGAGCGATAGTTGGGGGTGCCGTCGGTGGTGGAGCAGCGCTGATAATCGTTTTGGTGTTGGTTGGAATGTGGTGGAAGAGGTATAAACAGAAACAGAGATCTTTAGAGGCTTTTGATGGGAACTTTGATCCGGATAGGATTGTGACTGAGGGGAAAGCGATGAAGGGTGAGCCGAAAGGGATGAGGGGACGAGGAGCGACGTTGCCGAATGTTGGGGATGATGATGATGGAATGGGTGGAAGGTTAGCTGGCTCGGCACTGGGTGCTGGTGTCGTCGCACCGTATCCTCTGTATCACCCAACAAACGCAAACGCAATACCTCCTGAAATGTCGACACAACAACAACAACAAAACTCCAATCCATCTTCAACATCGCTCGGGTATTCACGTCCAAGTACACATACCAGGTCTCCAAGTTTGGGTTTATCCAACTCAGGTGTACCTGCGTCGGTGTATGCCGCTGCTTATGGTGAGAACGGCCCACCGCCTACTCAACCTCAAGCCTCCAATGCACCGTACGGTTTCGGCGTCGGCGAACGCCTACCGAATCCCTACACCCAAAACCCCAATCAACCCAATCCAGCATCCAACACCGGGTCTACTTCCACACACACCACGCACACTGGAGCCGGGCAAGGATATGGTCGATTCAATGTCGCTAATCCAGATCCAGGCGCTGTGGCTGGCGCTTCGTCTTCATCTGCAGCAGGTCCCGAAGGTCTATTCGTCGGTGGGTTCACCCCCGGTGCCCGTGGTGAAAACAAATCAGCTGCCGGGCCTGCGTTTGGTGGGGGGAGCAGAGATGTGTTGGTGCATCAGGACGGAGGGAGGGTTGATGTTCCCAGGGGTGAGGGAGAAGGAGAGGGTCCAGATGAGATTCCGCCCACCTATGATAGTTTGCTTCCAGATAGAAGTGGGAGTGGGCCTCCTCAACGAGGTGGGAAGCGATGATCATTATGCTGCGCGTCCATTGCTTTCCATGATACCCACCTCTTTCTCCTTCTGCTCTGCAACGTTAATCCACGACGACGCCCCTCACGTTTCGACGACCCTCAAGCGCTTAGGCCAGGCTCCTATGTAATACGCTTTGACGTTCCTTCTGAACTAGTAGTACATCCTCGGTTACTTATCTATTTATTTGTTTCGTGTAAAGTTTATACTCCCTTTACCTCTCGTTTTTTATTTACTTGCGTCCCTCTTTCACCCTCTCACCTTCTTCTTCTGACCCCTCCGTCTCCCTCTGACCTTAATCACTCCCATCTCCATTCTATATTCTTCCCCCTCCTCCTCCTCCTCTATATTTCTCCTCCTCCTACCTTTTGACTTGTATTCACTATCACCTCTTCCAAAATCTCATGATATCGATATGATACTCTTCGGCGGGCCCTCAGGCTATTACTGAGAGATTATCGGATCCGGATCCAGACGTACTAGAGAAACAAAAATAGACGAATTGAAGTACTGGTCCGAGTCGCTGTCAATACAAGTACTAGTCCGAATTAAGTTGCTAAGAAAACGTCTCGATTTTCGGGGTTTTTGTTCTTTGGTAGAGAAAAATTTCCGAGTTGCAATGTATGTCCTTGTTCCCTATATATGCAAAGATGATCATGTTCATCCCCGACCTTGTTTTTTTGTTTGTTCAAAGCGAATCTGAATTCACACATGGACCCACACTGGCAAAACATCCATCACGGGGCGTTCTGACAATAGTTTCGTCTTTTCCATTCAAGGGAAAGCATTGTACCCGAGGTTCTAAAGAACAAAAGTAACCACCTTCGTAGTTCAAGTGAGTTCTCCATCAAGTTATGAATTCATAAGCTGATGTTTCAATTGAGTTGTCTCTTGTATCGTTCTAGCAACTTTGTTCTTTCGAGCACACATGCATGATACACCCACGATACAATTAACAGCTGGTAACCATCATCTATGAAATAATGGTCAGGCATATTTAAGAGAACCACTTTCAACGCAGAGTCGCTTCATAAAAGATAGGCTCTTTTCTATATAACCTGTGACAAAAACTTCTCCAGCGGAACGACGACAATGGAGGAACCTCATGCCAAGGACATGTCTGATTTATTGTATGCGCAATTGGGCGTCAGACTTTCTCCGGAACAGTTACTACGTGTGTCTCACGAGGCAGCGAATAGGCGCAAACTAGGTATGTGTGCCGATTCATTTGACAGTTGGACTGAAATTGAGAATGCTCATAGGCCAAACTGGCCATGTACAAGCGAAAAATTCAACGGATGTTGGCTTAGGTATGTGACCGATGGCCGAAAAAGTCCACATTCCATCTATTGAGCATCTCCTAGAACGGGATGTAACCCAAGCCACTATAAAAATGAGTGTTAATGACACCAAAACTAACAACAACATCTGCAAAACCTGGGTTTTCGCTTAATTTTCTCCCAGCAGCTCCCAGCATTTCCCAGCATTTCCCAGCAAGAGATTCCACAAAAAGTTTCCGTCAAGTGCTTTCTTTGCTTTCATTGCTCTCAGGTGCTCTCAGGTGCTTTGGCTGCTTTCAAATTAATTGTAAATGAGGAGAAATCAAAAGGATCAAAAACTGTAATTGTTACGTCGTAATACTATTGTACCCCCTGCAATTTGACTGTAGATAGGCTAATCGAAATGTACTACTTTACTGAACTGGTAAGAGAAGGATCAACTTTATCTATCGCAAAAAATAGTTCTTTGTTGAAATATTTATTCAATAAAAACTCGTCACTATGATATTGGCTTGATTCTT